CTTAAGAAATCATTCTAATATGCTGATTTATTATTAGAATGATAAATGTTGGCAACATTTGTGCTGCCAAATATTTTTTTGGACACTGCAATACTTTTTTCAGGATTCTTTGATGAATAAAAAGTTAAAAAGAAGAGCATTTATTCAAAATATAAATCTTTTCTAACAATATCTTTGCTATCACTTCTTATCCTTGCTGAATAAAAGTGTGAATTTCTTTCAAAAAAAGAAAGAATAAAAATGTACTGACCCCAAACTTTTGAACGGTAGTGTATGTTGTTAAATGTATATTAAAATAGAAAAATCGTAATAATATTTCACAATATAAAATGTTTTTCCTATATTTTTGATCAAATAAATGCAGCCTTGATGAGCATAAGAAACTCCTTTAAAAAACATTAAAAATCGTTATATATATACTGTATAGACAAGGCTTATGGGAAATTAATGATGAGGTTGTCTGCAAATCTACATTAGAACATGTATTCATAAACAAGCCTAAAGAAAGAATTATAAGGAATTTAGAGGTTATTTACTGGAGAAAACCTGTCCACCGCCTCAGAAACACAACTGTCAGAAAGCCTCCTGCTAATGCACATTCAGCTTTTTTCATTGCAAAAAAACTGTCGATTGCAATGACAGCCAAGAAGTGAATCCAGATCTCTCGCTCTCTGAGAGATTTCTGATAAAAGCAGGAGAGCAAGGTTTTAAAAAAGGACACACGCTGACGTGTCCTTGCCTCAGACTCCCAACAATGCACCGACAGTCAAACGCTCGCTTTGAAACGCACTCGCTCTTTTCTTGTCCCCATCTGGTTCACTCGCTCACGGCTGTCTTTGTAGACATCTCTACGGGATGTTACATTTGCGCTGTGAGCGATGTTTGAAAAAGTCACATAAAAAAAACAAAAAACTTTTCTCTCAGAACTTGAGATCGGAGGGTCAGAAACGGCCACGTTAATATTTAACAGAGAAAAGACACAAACTGCTGATCATCTGAGATAAAAGCTTTGTGGGGACTAGATTTAGCATAAAGGGCCAAAAGAATATGTGAATGACGAGAGGCCGGAAAACAGGATAAAAAAAATAATCAGGCCGCAATCAGATATTTTGGCAGAGACACAAAAAGAAAAAACTTATTATTTTTAACACAAATCATAATTGACCATATTTACTTTCATAATGCCTGTTTCCGGTATTAGTTGTCAAGAACCAACAATGAACAGCAATTATGGCAAAATCTTAATATTAACATATAAGTACACTATTGATTTTTAGTTCATGTTCATTCTTATATCAATGTTATTAATGCAACTTGAAAATATAAAAATGCATTAGCATACACTACCGTTTAAAACTTTGCAGTCGGTAAGATTAAAGTTTTTGAAAGAAAAACTTCTGTTCACTAAGGCTGCATTTATTTGATTAAAAGTACAGTAAAAACAGTAATATTGTGAAATATTATTACAATTTAAAATAACAATTTTCTATTTGAATATATTTTTGTAAGAATTATAGAACCTCAGACACTTTGATCTTCTGAGACAGACAATACACACACAGTGTTCTTCAGTGTCACATGATTCTCCAGAAATCACTCTAATATGCTGATTTGCTGCTTTTATCATTATTATCAATGTTGAAAAAAAGTTGTGCTGCTTCATATTTTTGATGAAACTGTCATACTTTTTTTTTTTTTCAAGTTCAAATGAACACAATTTATTTGAAACAGAAATCCCGTTTTTGTCACTTTTAATCAATTTAAATGCATCCTTGCTGAACAAAAGTATATAAAAAAAAAAAAAAAAAAGTAGAAAATAACCAAGAAGAATAAATGCTGTAAAAGTATTTTTCATTGTTAGAATATGTCAGCTACTGCAAAGTTTGTTTCTCCTGATATTCACAGAAGGCTTTATTAGCTAACTCTGTGAAATGACTTTTGTTTTCGGATGACACCATGCTCATTTCCACCCCTCTCTGCTCTATTTGGACAGGACTAGTTCTCTAGATCAGGTCCATTTGTTTCCCAGCTGCACTTTGTGATTTCAATCCCATCCAAATTGAACACGTCTGTGTATTTCTCACACAGCCTGTTTAAAAATTACAGAGCAAATTACCTACTGTTTTTGGCAACCTCTGGGGTCCTCTAATGTTGTTCGGAAAGTAACAGCTATTGTGGTACTTTTTCGACAACACTTCTCGTTTATTTTGACCTTTTGTCCAACACCGTGACGAAAGCTAACTGGTGCACTTCATTATGGTGCAGACCTTTTTGCCAGTTTGCTGGGTAAAGTTGGCAAATCAGCTGTTCGATTCATCAAACATGTACACTCACATCCTTGCAGTCAGCAATTTGCGCTTTTGATTGTTAGAATTGGGTTGCAAGACACAATGCAAAAAAAAGCTACTCTATCTATCTATCTATTAAATATATGTTTAAATACTATATACTGTATTATTAAATATATTAAATATAATATATTATATCATCAAGCTTGGATTGTTGTTTACAATGAAAAAAAAAAATAAATAAATATCAATCAAGAAACTAAAATACTAATAAAAAAAGCTAATTGTTATATTAAATATTATTAAATCTATATATTTAATTATATTATTTAAATATTCTTTAACTATATATTTTAAATATTATATTACATTTAAATGTATTATATTTAATATAATGTATTATATAATCAAGCTTGCATTTCTGGATGATCTGACCTCATCCATAAAAAAATCTCAATGTCCGATTTCATGGGTCTTGAAGCAAAGCACAACAAAATCCAGCCCATTTTATCTTTCTTGTTGAACATCTTGTTCCATTTTGAAATAATTCACATTAAATGCTTTGCAAACCACATTTCATTTTGCTTTTAATTGCAGGCATTCAGTGGTTGACAATGAATTTTGTTTTATCATTCTGAATAACAGCCGCACCATTTACACGACGAAACTCCAGAAAAGTAATTTGCCCTCAGGAGACATGCAGAATCTTACACCCACCAGTGGAATCTAAATGATGTTATTTCATGCGTTTAACCTCAAGAGAAGAAGACTTTACACAAGCAGACTTTACAAAGACTCTAGTACCTTGAATAACAAGGAAACATTCTGTTGGGGAAATATAGTGAAGTTCGTGATATAGTGAGTTAATTTCAACATTTACCAATACGTTATTAAAATCAAAATCTGTTAATGGTCCTAACATGAACAATTATAATTTTTAATTCATGTTAGGAATTAACTAATGTTAGCTGGACCTGACTGTAAAGTGTTACTAAAACATTTATTTTCATAAGCATGTTAACATCAGATTCATTTAAAACCAGCACATATTTTTCAAAGCTTTAGGGAGGAAACACATTATAACACGGTTGCGATACCTTTCTCCAGGCCTGCAGAACAGATGAAATCACCACATTTGATATGCACTACAGTATATGTGCCGCGTGAGCTAAAGACCTTTTCCTGCCACAGTTCAACAGCTGTATTTGCTAAGTGCAATCCATTATTGAAGTACTAAAGTCAATACCTCATCCGGTCAATGAGATCTAAAGGACACAGTATCCACTGGGATGTGGAGAATGTCAGAAGGTTTGAGGGCATCCAGTGGGTCACATGAGATGGAGAAACCATGGTCTCCGTTCCTCATAGAGGACTGGAAAAGATGTTTATTTGCTGCCGGTCAAGTCATTTGTATTTTCTGTTGAATCAGATCCTAAGGTCTAAATAGAGACCATAATATATATTTTCAAATAAAAAAGGTAATTGCAACTTTTTATCTCCCAATTCAGACTTTTTTTTACTCGCAATTCTGATCAATTTATTTTTTATCACAATTCTCAGAATTGTGTAATATAAACTCAGAATTGCATGAAATGTGAGATAAAAAGTCAAATTTACCGTTTTACATTTTTTTAATTCCATGGCGGACACTGGCTTCCATACTTTTGCTCAGCAAAGCTGCATTTAATTGATCTAAAATACAGTAAAAACAGTAATATTGTGAAATATTATTACAATTTAAAATAACTTACCTATTTGAATATATTTTTAAATTTTAATTATTCCTGTGGTGCAAAACTACCGAGCCCCTTAAGGGACCTTTGCAAAAATAAAAAATACACAGACTATCACGTGCTCACGAGAAACTTTCGCGTGCACACGAGAAACATTTTGCGTGTGCACGAGAAACATTCGAGAACATTTTGCGTGCTCACGAGAAACTTTCTGTTTCAATTTCCGGTGTAGGTATTTTATATTAGCATTCCATGCTTTTGTTTTCTGCGTTGTAAGACAGCAGAGAGTGACGCAACCGGAAATTTTAACGTGTGAGCTCGCGAAACCTTTTTCGTGCGCACGCAAAAGTTTCTCGTGAGCACGTGATAGTCTGTGTATTTTTTTTTTTTGCAAAGGTCCCTTTTGCAAGGCTCCGTACAAACCAGAATTTTCTGCTTGAATATAAAATACTAATATTTTTGTGGAAATGTGTTACATTTTTTTCAGGATTCTTTGATTCACGAAAGTTCAAAAGAACAGCATTTATTTGAAAAAAAGAAATAAATCAAAGCAAAAACAAAAATGTACTAACCTCAAACTTTTGAACAGCAGACGTCAACTGCACATTAAGTAGGGCATCTGACAGATACTGAACAAATAAACATGCTAAATAACTATAACAAATAAATAACTATAATCTTCTATTGCACAGAACTATCATAGTCTTTGTAAATAAACTGAGAGCTGTGGATTGTGCATAATAACGGGAGCATCACTCACGACAGGTGATTTGAAGTCTGACAGTAATTGTGTTTATTCTTGAAGGTGGTGAATTTGTTTCAAAAGCGCTGCTTTGATGGCTGTAGCAGCACAGCTTTAAAGGGATGAATTTAGAGATGCATCCTCTCAGAGAGGGTTTTAGTGTGCTGACAGTCTAATACCACGTCTACACCGCAAGAGTAGCTGAATTATGTGCTTGCAGTGTTGAGCTTGTTGCACCACAGTCCTCTAAACATGTACCGCACAACCTAGCTTTGAAAGGAGGTTAAAAAAAGGTGAATGTTTCAAACTTTCTCTCAAGGCTAGTATTTACCAGAATGTAAAAAACTGCTTGTGATGTCACAACCATGTGTTCATTCATTTAATTTAAATGTAAATGTTTTAAATGAAAAAAATTCTAAATGTAATTTATTCCTGTGATAGCAAAACTGTATTTTCAGTATCATTACTCCAGTCTTCAGTGTCACATGATCCTTCAGAAATCATTCTAATATGATTGGTTTGCTGCTCAAGAAACATTTATGATTATTATCAATGTTGAAAACAGTTTTTTTTGGAAACTGTGATTTTACGATGAAAAGATTTATTTGAAACAAATCTTTTGTAACATTGTAAATGTCTTCACTGTCACTTTTGATCAATTTAATGCATCCTTGCTGAATAAAAGTATAAATTTCTTTAAAAAAAAAAATTATTAAAAATAATAATAATAATCTTACTGACCCCAGACTTTTGAAGTTGTACTATAGAAGAAATTAATTTGTGACTACAAAAAGTGTACAGAAGAATAACATATCGCCTCTTTAAATAAATATGTAACCGCATTTTAATTTTATTTTCTACTTTAGTTCTGTAATGTGATGTATTTCTAAATGAAAGCAGATTTATAGTGAAACCCATTTTTGAGAAGATGATTTTTGATTGGGATGTGGAAGTTAAAGGTCAGATTCACCTTCCAGAACATGTCGAGGTATTTTAGTAGCTTAAAACAGTGTCTAATAGCTACTGGTTAACATTGTTTCCCAAAAAAGGAAAGCAGTTTAACACATAATAATGAAAGATTATGAAATACATTAAACAAACAACTTTACAGGAATAATCTGTACTGATGAAACATACACAAAAAGACCAGGAACTTGTATTAGGAAAGCAAATAGGGTCAGTTTTGATTCCATGTTGACTTGAGGAAATAAGAAAACAGTGGAAACCCAAATCCAAAACTGAAAGGCTGAAGGAATGAATCCTGCTTCTCCAGCAACCCGCGCCAGGCTGGATCTGAACTCTGCCGTGAGGGCTGGCGAGCTCTTTATTGTTAATTAGAGAGAAGAGAGGGACTAATTAAGCTCATAATGAGTTGGCAGGGTAAGGGATGTAAATGAGACGAGAGGCTACAGTCCTTCAAACTCAGACATTGATCCTCCTTCACGCCACTGTAAGACCTCCAAACTCCACTCTCAACTCACGTCTGACCGCCATTAGCCTTGTTATCAGCCGACGGAAGAAAAAGAATGAAATAGAAATATAGAAAAACTAAGCTGTAAGGTGCGGTTGTGTACCACAGTGCTGTCACAGTCAGAATCCCAAAATCCATTTATATATATATATATATATATATATATATGCAAGTTCTAGAAATAGGTTTCACACAAAACTTCTTGTTTATTTCACTGTAATCTTGAGTGAAATGACCTCTACTGTTTTCTTAAGGGTCACGCATCTATTCTTTCGAAGGTTTATCGTTTCTCCTAAATAGAGCAGAATAAAACAGAATGACGAAGGCAGCCGGTCGCAGACATCACAGTAAACAACAAACACAAAGCAGTAAACCATTCAACTCTTTACACATGCTTTAAAGCAGTTTAATCCATTTACAACTCATTTTAGGATTTAAGACCAGCAGCTAAATTCCAGATTTATCCACAAATCTTTAGCTATAGTCTAAAACTAGTTGTACTCATATATTTTCAATGGCAAATGGTTATATCGAGAGAACTGGTGGCTGATGGGTGATATAATGGCAATATAAATATATAATGCATTTGAATGAATGATGGCAAATGAAACGTACAGTACCATTCAAATGTTTTGGGCCAGGAAGATTTTTGTTTTGAAAGAAATCAATACTTTTATGTAACATGGATACATTAAATCATCAGTAAAGTCATTTCAATTGTTACAAAAGATTTCGATTTCAAATAAATGCTTTTCTTTTGAACTTTCTATTCATTAAATAATCCTGAAAAAAAATGAACCACGGTTTCTGTTCATCATAAAATCACAGTTTCCACAAAAATATGAATATGCAGCACAGCTATTTTCAACATTGATAATAATAAGTAATGTTTCTTGAGCAGAAAACCAGCACAATAGATGGATTTTGGAAGGATCATGTGACGCTGAAGACTGGAGTAATGATAGTGAAAATTCAGCTTTGCATCACAGGAATAAATTACATTTTAAAATATATCCAAATATAAAACAGCTATTTGAAATTGTAATAACATTTCACATTATTACTGTTTTTACTGTATTTTTGATGAAACAAAATATTGAGAAAACGCAGCATTTCAAGATAATCCAACATAATTTGATGTATGAATGAACACTGCAGTTTCTACATAAAAAAAAAACATTTATTTTACACTGTATTACATACATTGTATGTATTTTAAATGTGTTTATTTTACTAATTTATTTCCCTGGAAAATATTGGAAAAAGATACTATGCATTGTCTCTTGAAACGGCTGCCAGTAGATTCTGAAAGAGATTTAACTTGCTAAATAATTAATTTTTTTATCACTAGTTAAAACTGCTTTCACGTGTAATTTAGTGACACATAACATACACCTTCCAAATTCACGCTGCACCAGGAAATGAGTTTTATGAAGTGTTAAATGCTTTAGTTTCAGCTATGACTGCAAGTGATAGTCGTGGAGGAGCACGTGTTCGAATCTGATGAGGATCTGCCAAAACCTGCCTGAATATAGATGTGAAATTACGATAGCTGAAGCAAAACCTGCCTGTTAAAAATGTGAAATACTTTAAGAGTGAATCAGACTGACCTTTACAGCCAGAACCTTGAATAAAGATTCGTTTGAGTAGACGGCATACTTTGTGATCAAAAACAAGACTGTGAGTAATGCAATTACAGCCTCATTTTCATTCACATGAAATTAAATGTGGCATCTTCAGGTTTAAACGGCTCTCACCTGCAGTATGAAGATCATGCCCATGATCATGGAGTACATGTCGTATTTGCCCAGCTGTTTGCTCAGAGCTGAACTCATGGCCTTCAGGGCCTCCAGATACTGTTTGAGAACCTTCTTGCCCATGTTACAGAACCTCTGACGTGTTTCCATCCAAATAGAGCTTCATCCAGCTTCCATGAGATTTCTCCGCCACGCGAAACTGCTCGTAACCATCCTCTGTGACAGAGAGAGAGATGGGGGAAAGTACAGGAAGAATTGAACAGACATGAACAATGCCAGAGATGAAACCAGAACACAAGAGAGAGAATGCCGTTAACTTAGTTATCTGCCTTGCCTATGCTAACTGAATTGGAACCTCGTAAGCGACTGATTTACATTAACATTTAGTCATTTAGCAGATGCTTTTTATCCAAAGTGACTTACAAAGGACAATAAAAGCAATCAAACCAACAAAAGAGCAATGATATGTAAGTGCTGTGACAAGTCCCGGTCAGTCTAACACAGTATACATATATACATAGCAAGGTTTTTTTTTTTCAACAAAAAATTTAATAAAATATAAAAATTCATTCTAAAACCTCTAATAAAAATCCTTACAATTACAATATTGCTTTAGATATTATTTAGCAAACCTGTAAGCAGCAAAAACAATGAGAAAAAAATACCATTTTAAATTAAATTAAAACAATAGCAAAAAAATATATATTTAGCAAGCTTTTATTTAGCAAGCCTTTAGTAATCAGTAAAATCAGTAAGAAAAAAATATCCTTTTTTTTTCCTGAGCTTGCTGCAATGCATTGCGGGATTGCCTTCTCGCCAAAGAATAAATGTGATGCTGGCCATAAGAAGGCGTTTTAGATGACATATTATTTATCTTCAGAACAGCCTTCACATATGATGCCTTAAAATGCTCACTAGGTTTTGAAACAGAGCCACAGTGTTATGAAGACACCATGAGGAAGCTGGTGCAAAAGAATCAGGTGTCTGCTGGCTGTGTTTTAAAGCAGACAGACACTGAGGGCCTTCACAGCGGGATCTCAGAGTGAGCTAACAGGCACGTCTGCCTCATACCACCCAGACACTTCACTACAGGACACCTTCGTCTCGCTCTGTGCCTCTCTCTTTCTAAGTGTGTCTCTCCCCACCTCTGAGCTCTGATTCTCCACAGAGCTGATGCTGTGAAGAATGACACGCACACAACGGGAAACAAACTTGACCCAAGTATGTGACACAAACGGCTTTCTGAAATGTGTCTGAGCGCAACTTAAAACGCATTAGGCATGAACAGCCAGCTTCTACAAGCTTGCAGCTCAACAACTGACACAAACAGGTTGTTGAGCAAGTTAGTTAATGCTAAAGTGTCAACATGTTAAAATCAGCTATTGGAATAACAATGACACAGATTTGAAGTAAACTATTGCCTCCTTGTTTGTTACTGAACACACGTTAAATATGTAAAACCAACAACGATTTTTTTTTTTAACCCATGCAACTTAAATTCATGCAACCTCTGAACAGTTTGTGTAAATATACCTAAATGCCACTTCAGAAGCAGCTTCTGAAAACAATGTTATGGCCACTGCCTTAAAAGTTTGTGTGTAGTAAATAAATGTTGAATCAAAATATTTCTTTCTAAACTTACTTTTTTTTGCAATGTGTATGCAATGCTTTTCTCATTTAACAAAATAATGACTTTAAATGATCTTTTGCAGGGTAAATTCTCAGCCCAAATTGATGTGCAATTAATGTCCATGAATGCATACTGCACTGCAATTTGCATACTTGTATAACATACTAAGAGCATGCACTTAAAATGACATCTTTATACAATAAGCCTCTTGCAAACTGTTTGGATGAAAATAATGAATTACTTTAAATTACTAGACAAATTAACTTAAGGCACTAATGGATGCTAAATAACTAATGGATGCTAAATGAATTACCCTAAAATTCAATATTAATTGAAACTGCCATGGCAACTGAAAAAGTTGCACATGAACTCTTAATCTATAGAGCAATGGGGTTGTTCATAATGTTTACTGCATGCAAAAATCATCCAGATAACCCCATATGCGCACATATGGCAAACTATATACAGTGCCCTGAATTTTTTTGAAGTCATGGCTGGACAATTTCATGATCCTAGTCACTCTGGTGTGCCAAAAATGTAAATATGAATGGGAATATACTAGATATTTTACTCATAATAATTTCTAGGGGTGCCAATAATTATGGCCAACATGCATTGGAGAAAAACATTTCATAATGTGAGTTTCCCCCCACTTTCAATTGTTTTACTTCAATGATATGTTAGAATTTTGTGAATTTTTTGAATTAAATATCAAAAAGACTATTTATCTTCACAGCCACCTTTGCTCATATTTATCAAGGGTGCCAATATTAGTGGAGGGCACTGTTTAACTTAACTTATTATGATTTAGTAAATAGTTTAACTATTTCACTTATTATGATTTTGGTTTATATACTATATGTCCTAAGTAGTATGCATGATCAGTGCATCCCAAATATGATTTCTAATCATGCATGCTACTTAGGACAGATGGTATGTAAAGCCACACATTCCTCCAGGCCATGTGAAACCTGTGAATCTTTAATATTTCTTTCCCGAGCATCTATGTAGCATCTTAATCGGTGTCTGTGTGAACCCCAAAGACAGAAAGGTGATAAACCGAGATGTGATTTGCTTGATGGAGATCATATTAACCCAGAGAAAAAGTGATGAATGGGACTATTACCGAGCGTTAGAGGGTAAAACAGAACATTAGAGGCATTTTCACATGAATCCATTCTCTTATGAATGAATTCACTTTGCTGGAACGTTCATCTATTGTCATAACACAAATAACCGAGGCTGTGATTAATCAATTATATGATTATGCTGAATTAGCTCATGAATCCAAGTCAACTGTTATGACAGTGAAACATAGTGTTATTTCCACAGTATCAACAGAAAGTCATGCATATTAGAGCTGCGAGATATAATAGCGTTACAGCAATGAGAAACCTTGGCCTGTGAGGATGATTCTTCGTAAATGGTCCGTCCTCTCTTAGACACACCGGAGTCTGCTTAATAATGAAAGTTTAATTCACAGCATTGATCACAGAGCAGGAGAGTTAGAGAAAAGCCAAACAGAGCGTCCGCTGGGATGAGCCTCTCCTGCTCGTGGAATAATGGGGATTATTCATGAATATATACAGCTGGAAATGAGAAAGAAAACAAGGAAAGAGAAGGGAGAGAGAAGCAGACAGACAAAAAGTCAGAGACATGGGGAATAGACAGAACAGAACCAGAAACAGAATGAAAGAACAATAGACAAATTAATAGACAGAATGACAGAATGACAGACAAAATGATCAATGGATAGATGTATGGAGAGATGGAACGACAGACAGAATAATAGATGGTTAGAAAGAATAACAGATAGATAGAAAGAATGCCAGATAGATGGATAGATATAACAACAGAATGACAGACAGAATGACTGACAGAAGGACAGACATAACGACAGAGATAGACAGAATGACAGACAGATCGATAGATAGTTCTAATGTTACAACTCTATCTCTCTCACACACACATTTGAGCCTCACCGTTTTGTGTGTGTATCAGAAACAGATCGGACTTGTGCTGACACACACACACAAAACAGACGGGAAATCAGTAGAGCTCTTCAAACAAGCGGCATGTGCGCATATGTGTGTGTGTGTGTGTGTGTGTGTGTGTGTGTGCGTTTGTGCTGTGTGTGTGCATATGTGTGTGTGGACGGCAGGTCAGTGTCTCTGCATCTGGTCAGCACAGGATTCTGCATCATCTTGTCATGATGACGGATGTCTCCTCACACATCAGCCTCTCTGAAATCCTCCTCAGATCGCCTGCGTCACCTTCCATTAAAATGCCTTTCAATAAACCTTTGAACGATTCTGATGGTGGAATTATCACTCATTTGTGTTGATGATGGTCTGTGAAGATCCTCTCTGGTTTAAGTGGATCTGGGCTTTTATTTGCTGAGCTATATTAATAAAGATCTGTGTGTGTGTCTGTGTGTGTGCGCGCGCTCAGGCTGTGCTTAATAATGCAGTTCATAACGCATTCAGGGTGAAAGTGCTGAAAATGGCACAAAAGGAGACACCTCTGGGTGTTTTGGAATGGCACACTATCATATTATCACTATTTTTACAGTATGCAGTATAGTTATATATAAAATAGATATATATGAAAAGTAATTAGCATAAAACACTAACATAACTATTTATTTCCAAGAGTTCAAAACAAATGTATGCACTATACAGTATTTACTATATATTGCAGTATGCTAGTATGGAGGTTTAGAGCACTGCCTCTGCTTCATGCACACAAAAGGAAAAGCAGGTCAAGATCTCTAGTGTGACTCAGGGTTCTGCTGCACGTTGCATTTTAATGGGGTGCCGTCATGAGCTTGAGCTCTCAGCGTGTTACCGTGGGAAAAGTGTTATCTGGAGAAAACCTCAGACGTCTCGCTTTCAGGTCAATGTGCTTAGAAACACTCTGATGAATGATTCTCCCCTTAATCACAATAATTCATCTGCAGTTTAATTAAGTGCTTCATTAGGCTGCAAAAGCATGATGGAGAAGTTTCTACATTCTAAAGAGCGCAAGGCAGGCATGGGTGAAGTGAGGTAATATCTGCCTGTATGTCACACAGAGACTGAAGAGATGACCTCTAACAATCTCATATTTTTGAATTTCCTTCAGAAAATGGAAGGACGAAAGTGGGTAGTGGCAATATATTGTCGTCATCAATCAGATCTCAACCTCCACACGCCTCTCGAACCCTCACTTGAGCGCAGGTGAAAGACTGGAAATTCAATGTCCAATGCATATTGTATACAAAAAATTAGTTGGCTGAAATCATAGGCTTATTTCAGCAACCTATGCTTTTTCTTTAAAAAAAATTTAAATTAAAAAATTAATTATGCATGAAATAAAAAAGTCATTTGAAAAGTAGACTGCCACATTAACTGCACATACATAAACAGTGTTTACATAAAAGCAAATCACATTTTCATCCAGTCACATGTTCTCATTCAAACAGCATGGAACAGCTGTGAACAAAGTACTATACTCTGCCGGCTTAGCATTTTCTTCCCGCCATAAAAGCGGATCCTCATCGGGTGGGATGCATCAGCATCTGTGCAGCTGCTCATGGATCGACTTTGCTGTGCATTAATTTGAATGCCAATCTATTATTGTGCTAACAACAATTAGATACATGCAATAAAAACAAAGGACTTTTCTGGTTGCTTTACATGTCAGTCAAGCTGTCTCTTTCTGTCTAAGTGGACAGTTCAAGGCCAGAATAAGCTGTGAATCAGATTTATAACAACAGTCAAAATATCTGGCTACACGAGACATACTCTTCCAGAAACAGCAACACAAGTCTGTGAAAATGTCAGCAGACATCACCATCAAACACACCAACCCTGAATAAACACACTCACACCTCATAACCCAGCAAAACTCTCAATACTGCAAGAAGTGAGAAGTGAATGAGCCAGAGATGGATATTTGTGGGAGGCCAGGCATCCTGCTGAGAGAAAATGGAACCAAACTGCTAAAGAGGCAGCAGAAGACACACAAACACACACAAACACACATCTAGGTTTGGGCTAAAGGGTATAACTTTTCGACTTCTATGGATTTAAAGTGCTCTAAAGGCCCAGTCAGGCCTGTGTACTCAATCTCGTGCTCTTATGTCGGGTTACTGACAGCGTTTCATGAGCTTGTTACTCAAGCAGCAAAACAGGAAAACAAAACTGGATTGCAAACTAAAGCATAGCGCAGATTGCCTTTTTTTAAGACAAAAACCCTAGACAGTAGCCAAGTGTAGTGTGAGAGTGTGAAGCACACTCTGAGAGACCCTGATTCTGTTATTTTAGTATTATTTATAGTATTTAATAATATTTAATATTAAAATAGTTTTTTTAATATATATTTTCAGTTTTCACTTTTAATTTTTGTTCAGTTTGAGTAATTTTGTTAAGTGCTCTTAATATTTAAATTTAGCTTTAATTTATTTTTATTTCAGGTTTAGTTTTCCTTAAACTTAAAAAAATAATAATTACAAATATTTTAAATATAAATTAAATATAATATATAAATTATTTTGTTTTTGAGACAATATTTGAGTGCTTCCATCCATCCATTTACACATGCATCCATCCAATAATTTATCCATCTATCCATCCACCTATTCATTTTTTACATCTATCCATCTTTTTGAGACAATATTTGAGTGCTTCAGTTCAGACACAAACTTCTGAATAATGAAGTGGAAAATCTCTTGGGCCTTTTTTCCACTTCACTCATCTTGACTGATCAGATTGTTATCCGATTTGGTGCACACTCCATTTACACTTGGCCTCCACACAACAGAATCTTACAAATCCTGTGCTATTGTATGCAGATATAATGGAATTTTCTTCACGCTAATGCCAGTCAGCAAAATTTCCTGTTGAATGCTCTCTTTGCATGGCAATTAAGGGCTTAAGGTACATCCGTGTGTCTCTCATCAATCATTACTAATTAACATGTGGATTGTGAGGCTCCCAAACTTCCACTGCTGCTGACGATGCTCCATCTGGTAGGAGTAAAGTTTACATATCTGTCCAAACAACCAGATGCATTTACAGTTGGCAGAGTCCGACCTTGTATACGTGACTGGACTACTATCCATCTCAAATGTGTCTTGGGACCCTCTGACTTTAGACAATTGTTATAAAGTTTGACCCACTTTGCAGCTTATTCTTGCCAATAAGTATCCACTTAGACCATTTTCCCAACATACAAAGTGCCCAATCATTTGTTTGACACCTGGTCACCAATCAAATAGCTATTTGTGTTCGCAATATGCATCAGACAGTTTGTGGACTGATCATGGCTGTGTGGGAATGCTGTTGTGTGCATTAGCTTTGTACTGCACATGTGAACTCACCCTTGTGGAAGGTGGGATTGCTGTCCTGTAGGAGGCGGCTGAGCTGGTGTCCATTGATCTGGAGGAGGCGCAGCTGTTCTCGGAGCGATAACTCCTCAAACACTGCTGGAATCAAATGGCCCACGCTGTTCTTGGAGATGGGTAACCCCAGACCCAGTGCGAGGGTGGGGGTCAGATCCACCTGCTCCAGGACGCCCGGCTTCTCAAATCCCACTACAACAGCAAGATACGTGTCATTAACTGCTCACTGGCTTTAAGACTTACAGCACATTTCTGTCCATGACATGCACTTTATGGAGTTTTACAAGAAAGTCAGTTCTCTTATTTCAGCAAAATGTGAATAATCATCTATCTATCTATCTATCTATCTATCTATCCATCCATCCATCCATCCATCCATCCATCCATCCATTCATCCATCCATTCCTCAATACATCTATCCATCCATCCATCTATACATCTATCATCCATCCATTTATACACCCATTGATCCATACATCTATTCCTCAATACATCTATCCATCCATCCATCCATCTATAAATATATGCATCTATCACCCATCCATCCATTTACATATACATCTATCCATCCATCCATCTATCCATCCATCAATTTATATCCATCCATCCAAACTTTTCCTACTACTTTCGTTCTCCTTCCAGCACTATTCTGCAAACTGACACCCAAAAAGAAGACATATTTACATATTAATTCATGAATGCTGATTACTTCATCTCTGGCAGGAAGTTGATGACACTAAATTAAAATTATTTATACACGCTAAATCTATAATATATTCCTCACAGACAGACATCAGCATTTGATTAAGTCAGTGTTTCCTGTGCTGTGCTGATGAATCTGTAGCGCTAACTCAAAAATGCATCTAGAATTTAGCTGAATAGTGTTGCATAGCTTTTGCATTGTCCTCGCTGGCTGTGCACAAAAATAATCATGCAGATCCTTTACAAAAATCATAAATCAATTGTTAAATCTGACTGAATTGAGTCACTGGTCTGAATGGTTCCAAAGACTCAATTTGCAATGTAAAAATCCAAAGGAAATACGAAGATGATTCAGGTTAAGTTTATGCGTATACCAAAAAAAAAAAGAAAAAAAACTAAAAATTCAGCTGCTTATTAACAAGTCTGCCATGTCTCTCCGGATGTTGCTGGTTTTACCTGCGGCTACAGCGGTATGAAGGACAATGAGGTAAGCATGAAAGCACCGCATGCAGCAGGTGAGGATATGAGCTCATCTATAAATAAAAACGGTGTTGCAAGAGAAAGCTGGTGTGATTGTGTGTGTGATCACAAAAATAGATCAGACAGGAAAAGAAACAATTATCACATTCACCCTGACAGTCTGGTGTAGACAGATGCTGCTCCACTCCACACTTTAATTTAGGAGAGAAAGAGAGAGAGAAAATATCGGGATGAGTGGAAGTGGATAATGAGCATATCTCATAGATTTTCACACTCTAGGGCTTGAGTATAGTGTGTGTTTATCCACACGTGGTTATGAGTGCATCATGTGCTCACTGCGTGTACTGCATCACATTATCAGTGCGACAACCGCTGCGCCAGCTCTGTGTGTGTGTCACAATCAATTACACACTGGACTCAATGCAAATTAATCCATTATAAAACAGTAGGGGAAACATGAATCAGTGCTTTATATTATAAGACAGAGATGAATCAGTGGGTAATTTAAAACTCTCGGGCCGTAAAATTATCCAGCAACTCACTGCAGAATTCCTCTAATGCAATCAGACAGACACAGACATTTGTGATTTAATGTGCAGCGAACAACTACATGAGTCCATGTAGGATATATAAGGAAGAGCACCTAGAAAGCCTTACAGTAGAAATTTAACCTTGTACACTGCTGTTGAAAAGTTTGGGGTCAGTATGTTTTTTTTTGTTTTAAGAAATTAATACTTTTATTCTGCAAGATGCATTATCAAACGAATTGATCAAAAGTTACATTAAAGACTTTTATAATGATACAAAAGATTTCAATTTCAAATAAATGCTCTTCTTTTGTACTTTCTGTTCATCAAAGAATCCTGAAAAATGTTGAATAATATTTTTTCACAAAAAAAAAACGTTCATAATAATAAGAAATTAAAATTATTATTACTATTATTAGCATAGCATTACAATGATTTCTGAAGGATCATGTGACACTGAAGACTGGAGTAATGATGCTGAAAATTTTAAATTATATTTAAATAGAAAACAGTTATTTTAAATTGTAATAATATTTCACATTATTACTGTTTTACTGTACTGTTTTACGGGTACTGTAATCTTACCCAAAAAATCTTACTCATAAAATATTATTAAACATGATTTGAGGACTTAAAAAGTGATGACATACTTTGAAGTAAAATGACATTTTACAAGAAATAACATGTACTTGATTTTATCTGATGTGAACTGACTGGATTGAAAAGTCGACATTCGAAACCAGAATAAAACAAAATGTACTTTAATTTTTATTAAATTAATGCTAACCAGCATTAAATCACAACATTAACTATAATTGTGAGGATCAGAGAGGGTGGAAATGATCATGAAAAAGCAAATTTTGGCTGTTTCTGATACAAGAAACATTGACTAAAATAGAGGGGAACTAATAAGTGCAATAAAAGAATGCAAAGAATTGTAAATGTGCAAGCAAAGATAGAGTGAAACACAGCAGGCTCTTTTTTGTGGAATAACTGCCCTTCATCAGTACTTAGATACTGGAGATATGGTCTTGATAATGTAAAAAAAAAAAATAAAAATGTCTACACTTTAAGCTCTAGCAAAAGCAGATCATATTTTGTGCTCTTGCAAATGATTTAAAATGCAAGAATGGCTGAAATAACTCCCAAACAGATGAACAGAAGCACACAGCTTTGCACATTCTAAGAATATCTTGCACAGTCATTAACGCTGATCTGGAAAATGCAACCGTTTTTGATTTAAGCATTGTTCTGTGTTGTGCGCTTACACATAATCGCTACTGAGAGTTTGCTGAAACACCAACCTTTGATTCTGTGAGACTCAGTTCTGTGTACAGAAGCACTACTGTAGCTTCCCCTTTCTTGAGCTTTTTCAGCAAAGGGTAAATAACATCATTAACTGGTGCATCAGTAACACATTCAGTGTCCCGTCCCTCACAAACACATTAATTCTCATAAATGCATGGGTGAATATGCTGGTTGTTATTTTTCTGATTTAAAGCAAGATTAAGATGAAAAATCATCACTTCAGCCACATCTGGGGACTGATTTACAAAAATGTTTATTGTGCGTAAAGCTTCTTTTCAGGAGACAGAGGACTATTAGAGCCCTTGTTTAGCTGAGATTTCTGTCAGACGGCAATCATTGGATACAGCTTAACAACTGTGGGAGGCCTGGCCAATACTTTATTGAAGAACCAAGACATCAAATATAGAGAACAGGCTTAAAATAACTTCAGTTTCAGAGAAACTTTGGAAAAATCGATAGAGGATCATCCAAAATGTTTTTCTTGAACTTCAAAGAGTCGCATAACCTTTACGTCTGGAGGAGGAACTTAATGTGAGCAACCTTTCCTTCAAAACACCATGAGATAACGTCATTTTTTTGCTAACATGGTTTTCTGGCAATCCAATAGTCAAATCTCTCAATACAGAGCATTCTTCAGAGAACACCCACCAACGGGCTGAAATATTCACCTGTCGGTGCTACTCACCTTTCCTCCTGAAGGCGGGGCTGATGAGCACAAGGGGCGTGTTGATTTCCGGTTCCGAAGATCCGCCGTGGCTTCCGGTTTCAGACATGCCGTGATCTCCACACAGAACCAGTAAGTTGGGCAACGTCCCTTCAGATTCCTGAAACACACACACACACACACACACACACACACACAAAACAAGAAATAAAAATATTTTAATATATTTATGTTTTATTATTACTCTAAATAAATATATTTATTAATAAATTGTTCATATTTATTTTATTATCTAAAATTATTTATTTAAAATTATGTATTAATATTTAAACATATTTATTTAAATGTAACATTAGTACAGATATTTTAAAATTTAATTATATAGATGCACGATAAATACAAAAAAATCTATAAAATAGTCCATTCAAAATCTATAATATTATATATATAATTTTATTTGATAAAAATTATTAAAAAAAAATATACATATATTTCCACAAAATAAATGGTTTTTGGTTATTTCACTCTTTGTTTAGACTATGATCATTTTAGACATGCAATAATTCGTAATTTTTATGAAGGATTCTTGTATTTTAAGAATTAATTTATATATAAATAATATATATATACATTATTTTTAAAATAAAATTACAATATAATATACAATATATATAACATTGTATAAAAATGTCAATTCATAATTAAACAATTCATAAATCAATAATTTATTTCAAAGAAATAAAAAACCTTATAATATGTTTTATCATCTCATGAGTATTATTTGTGGTTATAGCTTTTAAGAGTATGATGATTTATAATACACATTGAACACAATGCATCCAATTAACTTACAATGGATTATATTTCCCAGAGTTATAATGTATTATAAGTCTCATATCTTGCCATCGTTAACTTGTTACTTTACTTAAACCAGACAAAGACTACTTATAAATAATAACAACAACAACAATAATAATAAAAATAAAAATGATATTTTTTAAATCTTAAATCTTCTTAAATCAGATATCTGATCAGATGAATGTGTAATATGGCACATTTGATTTTATCTATATTTATTGTAATATCAGTAAGACAGTAAGATACTGTACAGATCTTAAAGGGTTAGTGCACCCAAAAATGAAAATTAGGCTGCGTTTTACTCACCCCCGAGGCATCCTAGGTGTATATGACTTTCTTCTTTCAGACAAATCCAGTCGGAGTTATATTAAAACATGTCTTTGATCTTTCAAGCTCTATCATTGCAGTCAGCGGGTGTTGCATTGCTTCAGTCCAAAAGAAGTGAAATAAAAAGCGCCCATCCATAAAAAAAAAGTGTCTCACACAGGTCGGCTTTGCGCATGCGCCGCTCAGAAGTAACACATGCGGAAACGCAGCGGAGAGATCAAAACAAAACAACGGTCAAGAATTAGAAGTACAAAACGAGGATTTGTAAAGAAGAATGTCAGAGGATTTCGATATAAGCCAAGAGGAGACTGGTTTTCCTTTGCTAAAGTAAGGAAACTTTGCTTCCTTTGATCCTGTAAACAAACGTTGGTTTTCACGAGACTCACCGGCGCATGCGCAGCGCTGACCTCATTTGTCAGCCGCCCGGAGCTGCTTCCGTAAGTTTTATAAATGTATTATAATTGTTTTTTTTTTATTTTTTTTTTTTTATAATTTATGAGATGAAACAACATATTATATGTTTTTTTAATAATGCATTATGCATTCATTCAGTGGCAGTGCTAGGGCGGGCTTGATGGGGCTATAGCCCCGTCAGAAACTTGCTTAGCCCCGGCACAACCCCCCCAAGGATTTCCTAATGATATTCCTGTTTTTAACTCCCAGTGTCACTTTCATTAACATTGAAAAATAAACATTAAAACCCTAAAAAAAAAAGGTGCCTAATATGTGGCCTATAAACAATTGGTATTATGGGGAAGGGGTTAATTAGGCGCACTCAGTGTTTCCATGTCGAGGTTTTCCGCACAATTGGGCTATTTTGAAAATGCAGTCACGGGAAAAATTGCAGAGCCACGGGTTGCAGTTTTTTGGGCTACTTTTATAATGTACCGCGGCTGCCTAAAGTGTATCTATAGACAAATAAAAATGAAAATAGATCCTTTTACTAATGTGTATTACCGTATTGACCCGAATATAAGACAATGTTTTTTTCTTGGAAATACATCTGAAAAAACACGGTCGTCTTATATTCAGGGTCTAGACTTTGACATGTCAATTGTGCTTCTACAGCTGATACCTCAAATACTCTGCCAAAACAAAACATCTGTTTGGTTTAGATTATGATGTCTATCGCGCTGAAATCATCCGTTTTAAAGCCATATCAACGTCTAATATATGGTTTTCTGAGCGCACACATCCAAAGCACACGGACAGAAAGCGGCTGTCACAGCATGTGAGGACTAAACTAAGTTCTCACTCACACAAGTTTACGTTAAAAACACACAAGTTACAAAAACAGTCGGTTATGTCTGTGAAGGTAAACAGCTGGTAAATAAATCGCATGTTTATTTTAGATCTGTGTGGCAGCAGCAATATACATTAAATAAATCAATAAATCCACTGCTCTCTTGTCTCCTTTGAGGCTGGGACTGTAAATAGTGTTCTGTGCTCATCTGTGCAGCCAAAGGCAAAATAGTTAGCATGTTTTGCTCAAACTTTCACCATGGCATTACACCATTGTCGCTTGTGAAATCAAAATGACGGCGCCGTGGGTGTAAACTTACAGATTAATGGGCGGTAATATTATAATGAGATCCCTTTGCCACGTCACCAAGGGAGCGAAATCAGACATGCTCGTTTTCTCACACGCTTGCAGAAAAAGGCTTACAAAAACAAAGTTACTGGGTTAATCTTTTTTCACGTTTCCTTGGTTGGTAGATGCACTGGGGACCTGATTTATAGCACTTATAACCTAGAAAAGTCAGATTTTCATGATACGTCACCTTTAAGGGTTTTACACAGCAGATATAAACACGACAACAACCAGTCAAAGCATGTCGCTTATAAGTCTGCACGATCTGAGTGTCTCTGTTTAAATGCCATAGTTTTCTCTACAAACTCAAACACATGTGAAGCTCACGGTGATTTCAGCGTTCGCCTCGCACTTTATGAACTTCATTTCCAGAGCCTCTCCAAGAGATCTTTTCACCGTAAGAAATTTGAACAGAAATATATTAGCTACTATGATTTAGTAAAATGTACTTCTCAAAATAATAGGCTAATACCATTACCATTATTTGTAAGGAATATCATTCAACCCAAATATTTTTCATCCATGTTATAATATCAAACACACAGTTTTGTCGTGCATCATCTTATTTGACAAAAACAAAAATGCAAGGTTTTTGTTGTAAATTAATTGTTATATTTAATTATATTATTATCAATTTCATCAGACATAATTTTTCATGATAAATGTGTATTAAATCATAAATCACAAAATAAATCAAATGGAAAACACATCATATTTAGGGAAAAAATAAAGTGAATTTCATGGGGCCCTAAATTAAACGTTGGCTTGAAAGAATTTATGAAAAAAAACAAGTTATGTTTACATGCATTCTCAAAGCATTTCCTTCCATAATAATGGTAAATGAATATTGTGATAAATATTGCTATGATATGGGAAAAAAATATTGTCATAATACTTTAGCCCTTTTAATTTTATCTTGAAAAGTGCTGAAAATTAAAATGAAAGAAAGGGTAAAATAAAATAAATAAATAAATAAAATACAGATTAAATAATTTAATATGCACATACTACATATAAACTTGTCTTGCTAAGATTTAAAACATAGGCCTAGAATAAATAAAATCAAAATTTTTATTTTTATTTTAAAAAGCATTAATGGAATAAAGCAGCTGTCAGCTGTGATTGGATATGGCAAAAATTGGCTTAGTTTTCATTCCTTTTGGGGGGTTTTGAGTAAGCTTTGGGCTGGAAATTTTTCTGGGACCTGGCAACCCTGGGCACGCTGTACAGTGTGCATTAGCGTTCGATGGAGCGCTATTTAATATCAAGTAAAAGACCGCGGATTTCAGACACTTTGCAGAATAGCTCAGATGAGAACAATAACACAAGTCGACAGTCTCAAGTCCTCTTTACACTAGTGCGTTGGTTTTGAGTAAGCTTTGGGCTGGAAATTTTTCTGGGACCTGGCAACCCTGGGCACGCTGTACAGTGTGCATTAGCGTTCGATGGAGCGCTATTTAATATCAAGTAAAAGACCGCGGATTTCAGACACTTTGCAGAATAGCTCAGATGAGAACAATAACACAAGTCGACAGTCTCAGTCTGAAGTTCAGGATGGAGAGGAGTCTGTCGTCACACAGAATAGCAACTCTTAAAAAATAGCTTATGTGGAAATAGTTTTATGAATTGTCGGTACTTTATTGTAAAAAAAAAAAAAGTAAATAGATATGTGTAAAAATAAACAAATAAATAAAATAAAAATAAAATAATAACAAAAGAGAAAAAATCCCTACTTTCTCTCTTTTCTTATGTGCGTTCATAAATTGTATTAAAGGGGTCATATGATGCGATTTCAATTTTTCCTTTCTCTTTGGAGTGTTACAAGCTCTTGGTGCATAAAGAAGATCTGTAAAGTTGCAAAGACTAAAGTCTCAAATCCAAAGAGATATTCTTTATAAAAGTTAAGA